GAGTCTACATCAAAAGGACAAAGATTGTCATCGAAAGCATCAATGTGTCCTTTGATGATTCCACAACAATGACGTCTAGATACAACAGTTCAGAACTCGGACTTCAAAGTAGAGCATCTGATTCATCACTTGGCAAACTCAATGAGTCGGAGCTAGCTCAATTATTTGAAGACATATTCGATGCAGAAGTAATCTCTGGAAATGTGCCCACTGCAAAATCTAACTCCAGAATCGATGAAGATCATGAAGTCTCCAATGCTAAAGGTACAWCTCTTACAGAAACTCATGTTACTTCACCATCTACTTCTTCTGTGTCTTCAGATCACGATCAAGATCCAGAATCTAACTCTGGAGATGATCTCGTCGAGGGGGAGCAAGCAGCTCCATCAGTCGATGAAGAGTTGTATCCTGTTGCTTTAGAACCTCAATCAAGCACCAAGTGGACAAAAGATCATCCACACCACCAAATCATTAGTGATCCAACCTCTGGTGTCAAGACGAGATCTGCCATAACAAATGAATGCCTCTTCGCCAACTTTCTAAGCATGATAGAACCTAAGAAGATTTCAGAAGCCCTACAAGATCCAAACTGGATAGACGCAATGCAAGAAGAATTATTCCAGTTTGAACGAAACAAAGTATGGTCCCTTATGCTTCTACCCAAAGGGAAGACGGCCATAGGCACCAAATGGGTCTTCCGGAACAAGAAAGATGAAGATGGCATCGTAATAAGGAACAAAGCCAGGCTTGTTGCCAAAGGCTACCGCCAAGAAGAAGGGATTGATAATGATGAAACATTCACTCCCGGTGCAAGACTTGAAGCCATCAGAATGTTCCTAGCCTACGCCGCTCACAAAGGCTTTAAGGTCTATCAGATGGATGTCAAGTCTGCCTTCCTCAACGGAAAACTTCAAGAAGAAGTCTACGTGCAGCAGCCTTCTGGGTTTGAAGATCCAAAACCTCCAGACTATGTCTACTTTCTGGATAAAGCCCTCTAAGGGCTGAAGCAAGCACCCAAGGCCTGGTATGAAACTCTATCTACCTTTTTCATCAACAACGATTGCGAAAAAGGTACAATCGATACAACCCTCTTTCTCAAAAAGAATAAAGGTGACATCTTACTTGTTCAAATATATGTGGATGACAT